CCTCCCCCTCTCTCTCTTTCTCTCTCTCTCTCTGCTACAAACCAAACCAAATAAAATACCAACAAACCAACATACCAAAAATAATGAAAATACATCGTTCCTTTCTGGACTTAATTATGAATTCTTAATTTTGAGTTCGGTGGCTCGTGATCTGTAATTCCTGATCTTTTCACTGTACTGTTATGTTCACTGTTTTCACCGTCACTTCTGTACCGTGAACTTATCATTAAAGTAAACAAATACTTGCTGCAATTCCTTCTTCCTGCACCTGTCGCCACAGTGAATATATATCAACAAAACCCACTAATTATGCAGAATGTGGGACTATTCATTATCCACTGCCTTCAATTCAAAGAAGAAGTCGAACCCCATAATAGCTAGCGTAGTAGTAGAAGTAGAAGTTTTTTCAGACAGATTGTTACCTGTCTCCTATTACTGTATTGCAATGAGTATTATACTTGATTGTACAAGCAATTAGCCTTCGGGCATGATTTTGCAAATAAGGTTTCTATTTATATAGTTCCGTGAACATGTCCATGTTTCTCACACCGTGAACATAAAGTGAATTACAGTACTAATTTCCATGCTCTTCTCTTTTTCCCCAGATCCTTACATCACCGTTGAGATCTCCGGTGGTCATCTGAGGGTGGTAGGGACGGCTGAGGCGGCAGTACTTTTCAACAGTACTCTCGACCCGAGTTCTTACCAGGCCGGGGCAACATTCGCTTGGCATTGCCGCCAAAAGGACTCCAACGGAACGTTCGACCCTGATGCCACTCCAGCGGCTGCCTACAATGTCTCATATGTGGATAACAACAACATAAATGTCTACACAGGAGCTTGTCGTGACGTCAATTTTGGCAATCTTTCCCGAGCCACCGGAAGTTCCATTCGCCTTGACCAATCAACGATGGCGACAGGAGTGCCGTACGTCATCAAAGTCACGGGAACTGTCATTGGACAGACAGTTGAATTTCAACAAGAGCTCTACATAGTTGACGGTGGACCCTTACCAACTTTCTCCATTAAGTACGCTAGGAGTATAATAGTATGATAATGACAACTTTATTGCATGTTCATGCCCTAGTTCATGCCTAAGATCAAAGTGTTTAAGGCATGTATTGAAAAAATTCTTTTGTATGGGTCAGAATACAAAAATTCTTTTGTATGGATTATGAATATGTCACATTCTAGAAAACAAAACGGAACATACACGAAGATGCTGTGAGTAGTTTTCAACACACCATGGTGGAAACATACTACTAATGAACAGTTATACGGTTCGTTACCAAATGTAACTACAGTAGTCAAATGTCGACGACTAAGCTTGGCCGGTCATGTTGTACGTAGTGAAGAACCAGCCAGTAGGCTTCTACTCTGGAACCCTGACACTATACTAAAAGAAGAGTTGGACGGCCAAACGTAACACTTAAGAAACTTATAGAAACTGAAACAGGCTTGCAGGGCCTGGAACTTATCTCCGCGATGAAGGACAGAAAGTTCTGGAGATCTAACTTTGTATGCTCCACCTCTTCGGAGGATGATTGATGATGATGATGATGTACTAGGCTAGATATAACTGAGTTATAAGGGCATGAGAAAGGAACACTACATTAATACCTCAATATCTACAAGGTCTCTTCTCTCCTTGTAAAACATTCGTAGGCAAATTTACATAGTTTTTAAATTTACATGGTAGTTCCTAGATGGCATAATATGCTTGAACAACATTTAAATACCATACTTTGCCAGGAGCAGCATTTTTATTTTCAAAATGCGTGATAAAATTATAAGACAACCAGTGTATATGTTTGCCAAATTGGTAGTACACGGATACACAAAATATATGAATTTCATTCATACAAACAAGTAATCCAGTACATGTATTTATCACAATACTGAACTGACCTCAGTTGTTCATTTTGATGCCACATACGCACAGTATGTGTGATCAAATGGTTATCATGAATATTATCTACTTGCTGTCATAATGGTGGTTGGTTATGAGTATCAGACCTCTTGCTGATTTAATTTCTTCTTATTATTCACAGATGTGTTAGCAACTGTCTGGCCTTCGTCAATCCAACCAAGGACATCAAATTAGTAGCAAATTGTACGAGCTGTGGTCTACGCAAAAATTACAAGATGACGTTCAGCTGGCAACTGTACGAAGAGGATATAGATACCGGTGAAGTCATGGAGATACGGAATTGGGCTGATAAGTCGAACAACGGTAGGGTGTACATTGTTATCATTCATATCTGTTTAAAGTTAAAACTTTTGTTCCAACACAAAAAAAATTCTCACCTAGAGCTTTCGACCAGTCACTCTGGTCTTCCTCAGTAGACTGACCCAGTGAAGCTTGTCACGTGGCTTCTTTGAAGTGTGACGTCAACACTGGGTCGGCATCACTGACGTCAACATACACGGCCTAGCTCTGCCAGTTCAGAGGTGTCTCAACACATCCACATAGAGTCACCCGGACATTTTGTTTCACTGGACACTGTAAGGATTTTAGACACTGAACAAGACTATTTCTTGAGAGGGGTGAAGGAAGCCATATACATCAGGGCCCATCACCCTACATTGAACCGCGACGGGGCTCGACATCGTCTACCAGATACCTTTGACCCAGTGTTGACGTCATACTTCAAAGAAGCCACGTGACAAGCTTCACTGGGTCAGTCTTCTGAGGAAGACCAGAGTGACTGGTCGAAAGCTCTACGTGAGAGTATTTTTTTGGGTTGGAACAAAAGTTTTAACTTTAAACATGTAATTACCAACACAGATGAACTTTCATGATAATCATTCATATCTGTGTGACGCATGTACATGTAGTACATGGGGACTCTTCATTGAGTAAAGACTGAGACACTTTCTTCTACACATTACAACCAAGTCTTTTCTTCAGCCGACGTTTCGGTGACCTTCTGTCACCTATTATGTACAACCACATTGTAGATACAGTTCCCTATAACAACGCAGATGTGTAGATATATTTTTTTCATGTAAATATTGAACATTTGGGAATGCATCTATAGCAGCGACACCTGTGCTGCAGTGCAATGTGAAGCAGTCAGAATTGCCCTGAGGAAGGTGACAGGCAGTCACCGAAACGTCGGCTGAATAAAAGACTTGGATGTGTAGAAAGAGTCTCTTTACTCAGTGACTTACCAACCTGATGAAACTATTCACAGATTTCAACGTGAACGCAAAATGTGCCAAAATTTGGTGTCCCTTGTGATACGGCTAGTTATCACACGGGCCGGGCCACCAGTATTGAACGTTATCGCCGCCCAGGTATGACATAATGCGAAGGGAAGCACTCATGTGACTCCCGCGTGATTACTATTTATAGTACTACTAGACCATTTGTTCAAATTGTACGTTTCTTGGCATGCCACGTGACTACCTCGTGATATTCACGTGGCAGGCCGCGTGTCTTCGTGATGTTAGAACAGGTGTTCTCGTAGCAATTGCGCAATCTGTTGCCGTGTTGTTGATATTCAAGGTAAGCCCATGTTGATTTAATTATATGGATGACATCCGCGCTCAGAAATTTTCATCCGTTTCGACTATATAGAAAATCATACAAAGCAGTTGGAAAGTGAGCAAATATAAACCGTAAATTGAAAGCAAAAATGTTGGAAAACGATACTAATCTCGTAGAATGCCAAAATTCAAATGCAAAGGAAAAGAAGAACTGAAAATGAAGAGTATGTTATTCACCAAACCATCCTCTCTGTCATTTGTTCAACCTTCATGACCACATAGATTTCCTAATGAAGGCAACTCTTTGCCAAACTTTTCTTACTTGCACGCTCGCATCAGTATTGAGGTTCCGAGAGGATATAATCAAATCCTAAACAAAAACAAATGGTGGTTGCAACTTTCAAACTTCATAAATGACGATGTATCTTGTAATATCTGAAGCAATATCAGAATAATGCATTAAATTATATCCTTTATCCTCCAAATTCTGTTTTCAGGTGTCAACCAGAGGACCCTATGGGTAGCCAAGTACAGTCTAGAGTTTGGTAAGAAGTATAGATTCCGTATCAACGGTCAACCAGTGAATGGATCTATTGGAAGTTTTGCAGAGTACCACGTTCTTACAAGTCCCAAATACAACATGACGTGCTCCGCCATTCCAACAGCAGGTGAGAACTTTAGTTTTTTTTTGCGATGTCTCAGGGAGGAGCCTAATGGTACAGTATTGTGTGCAGTTTGCAAGAATTCTAGGAATTGTACACGTCAGACATTTTGTCCACAGCAATGGAATGTAAACAGGCATGTCTCTGACCCACATTTATGCCCACATTCCTGGAAACCTTGGGAAGACCTTTCTGCCCAGCTTGGCCCTACTATCTTCACTGCACTGTGATTGGTCATCCGAAATGACGTCACCAATCAACCCCTTATAAGGCGCGCGCGCACTCCATTCTGCCCTTTCATTCGGAGACACCGCCACGCCAGCATCGCCAGTTTTGCCAGAGAGGCAGTCTCTTCGGCTAGCAGTAGCCCAGCCACGTGTACGCGGACTGAGTTCGGAGCACGACCAAGTCGCCTCCAAAAGGTTTGGGTGTGGCGGTGGTAAAGATTTCCCGTTTAGGACGGGTTTTACAAGTACTTTTTGGGCGTTTGTTTGCGCCTTGCTTTCTCCATTTGATTTTACTGTTCAGAGGCGGTTTACGCACCTGAGACCCTGCATTTACATGTGAATGCTTGTTTTCTCATTTGCGGGATTGTGTGGGGTGGTATGGCTTGTTATGTTTGCAACGGGGAGGAAAGCTCAAGTTAAGTTTCCTGAAGCGTCCACGACCTGGCCTAACTACCTCGCGTGGCGGACTCTTGCTTGGCTTGGGGGACTTAGTTGAGAGTCCAAGTTCTGACGTGTTATATTTATGTCATTGTCAGACAACATGTCTCAGTAACCGAGCGCTTCTGGAACCTCCGTGCCGAGGAGGGGTGGACAACAACGCCAACCCGAGCAGGGAGGAGTGGAACACATTCAGCCGCCAGACCCGCAGAACAACGTCGCACCACAGAGACAACAGGATGCACCGCAGGGACAACAGGATGCACCGCAGGGACAACAAGATGCGCCGCGGGGACAACAGGATACACCGCAGGGACAACAAGATGCACCACAGGGACAACAAGATGCACCGCAGGGACAACAAGATGCACCGCAGGGACAACAAGATGCACCGCAGGGACAGCGGGCCGCTCGGCAGGAGCAAGCGTGGCACAGGCTCCAGCGCACCCGCAGCCGGGGCCGGCGCTAGAGCAGCCCCAGGCGGCGCGGGCGGTAAGGGCACAGTCCTTGCAGTAGAATTTTCTGCATTTGCGGAATTTGAAGGATGGCTTTTGGTTGCTACCACGTATTTGACTGTTTTATCTCGTGTGTGAGCTTCGTAAAGGTACGTTGCTCGTGTTGGTAGCATTTGTTTTGATTTCGTACATCGCCTTAGTCAGTATGAAGAACCTCGGTCGGATTTGTACGCAAATTTTGTAATGTAGGGGGAATGGCGCACGTGCAGACTTGATTGCGCAGGGCGCACATTCCCACCGTGGAGGCGCAGGTGTGGTTTCCTAGCGTGGATACCTAATTACTCCCGTGGTGAGCTACGAGTACACCGGGTGTGCGGATGGTTTTATCCATCGTGTAGCTCACGTTTAGGGCGAGGCGCCCTGTAATGTGTTACAAAGTGGTATTACTCCCGTGGTGAGCTACGAGCACACCGGGTGTGCGGATGGTTTTATCCATCGTGTAGCTCACGTGTAGGGCGAGGCGCCCTGTAATGTGTTACAAGCGGTAAGGCGTTCAATAGGTGAACGCTGGGGTACCGCGTGGTGAGCGTGAAGGGCACGCGGAGCCGAGATGTACGGATCGTTGTACGCCTGGGGCGTACGAAGCGGTCGGTATAAAAGTACATTGGCTCGGAAACGCTTCATGAGAAGTTGCTTACACGTGCAGTGTGTGAGCGGGAGCGTTTGAGGTTGCAATTTGCATGTGTATGGCACACGTTAATTGGACTTGTGTCGTTTATGCGGGTTATGGCAACACCCTTACATGTGGTCCAAGAGCTGAAGAAGCAGTTCGGCGCCATGAAGCAGGAGCGTACCACGGATATCAGGGAGGAACTGGTGCGATACGCAGGGCGACCAGTGGAGGCCTTCGACCCACCGGGCCCTGGCCCTCGGGGAGGGGCTGGTAGCCCCGGCAAGCAGAGAGAGCCATTTCGGGAGCGGCCTAGTCAAACGGCCGGATAAGGTTATAGCTCAGTTTGTAAAGAGTACCACGGCCAGATGCCCAGGGCTGGCGGAACTAAGAGTAAAGCCTCTAGAGCCAACACTTATGGTAATAGCTTTTAAAGGCAAGGACGACAGGCCAACTCGAGGCCGGGTGATGAATGCTTTAGGTGCCATAAAGTAGGCCACGTTGGCAGAGATTGTAAGGAAGGCAAGCCTAGCGCATCGGATTAAATTGGTCAGAATTTATATTTGGAGATACTTTGTATACAACAAGGGGAGGTCAAGCGACTTGATTATGGCTGTCTATGATGCAGGAAAACTATGTAGGCGAGCCGGTGAGAATGTCTCTTCTGAATAAAGTGGTGATGCGGTACTCTTTCTTGTCTTGAAATGTATTCAGCGCAATCCAAATAGTGTTGGCTATTATCTTACTGATGACCACACATAGCATCCGAACTGCCTATAGTGGTAATCATGTTAGAATGGCGTTGAATAGATGAGCACTTGGGGCGAAGACAATTTTTCTGTACCCTCTCTCCCGGCTGGAGGGTCGAACGCGTTGAATTAGACAATGAGACCCATCACAGCCCCATACAGCAGGTCAGCTGAGGGTGTAGCACAAACGACTCAGAGTGCCATACAGTAAAGTCGCCAGGGGGCGTAGTACAAGCATCGCATGGGGCTGCACAACAACTTCGCCAGGGGGCGCAGCACAAGGAGGTCGCATAGTGCCCATACGCCAAAGTCGGCGAGGGGGCGCGGCATAGGCAACTCATAAGGGAAAGTAATATAGTAGCCCGAAGGTTACGGGGGCTGGTAAACACGAAGTAAGGAAGGACGTACGGGTAGCCATCCGATTTGCTGTGCATGCAACCATGAAAACCGACACAGGTAACAGGTCAATTGCAAACCGCGGGACAAAGGCAGAGGAAGTAAGGAGAGGATGCAGGCTATGAGGCCGCACAGGCAGTATGTTTATCATGTGTAGTGTCGTGGTAGTCTTGGGATATTTCTTAGGAATATCTAAATCGCAGCTGTACCCGGCGCAGTGCCTGGAGTTCCTGGTTATGGAGGCAGACTCAGTCCGCTTGACCTTCAGGCTACCAGTACGAAGAAGATTTTGTTCGCCGCCCTGCGAGAGGGTGTGTTGAATGAGCAAAGCATGCCCGTTGTGAAGTGGCAAAATTGACAGG